TACGTAAAAGGATTGAAAAATATAAAATTTACACTTCTGTTATAAAAAAACTCTCATTTTATGGTACACAAATTACTAATATATTCATAAGATCCATTTCAATATTAAATCATTATTAAAATTGGTAAATTGGGAGAAAATCCCTCGAATGGTGCTAGTTACACTTTCAAAACTAAAAAATCCCAAAACCCCCAAATTTCCGTAACCTCCATTCTCCTCCCTCGATTTTCTTTCATTCCTCTTACTGTTGGGCTTCTTCTTCCTCTGCAACCTTCATTCATCTTCTCCGACACCGTCGTTGTCTCCCTTCGTCTCCGGCAGCTCCAATTTTCTTTGTCGTAGAACATTTCATCTCCAACATTTCATTTCATCTCTAGCGGCTCTAATTTCCTCTAAAACCTTCAACTGCATGAGCATTTTATTCCTTCATTTTGGATTATCCGGTAGTTTTTATATTTTGTTTAATTTAATAGAAAAAAATCTGAATCTATTATTACTGTCGCCAAAGATTAGTTGGCTTATACTAGTATATATTTTTGATTTCGTTTGTTTTAAATAATGTATATGTGGGGATATATAGTATAGTGTTTAGAGTAAGATATATATTATATCTCAAGTTTTATGTATTTGGATATATACTGATGGTGATTTAAAATTAAGAATATGATGAATATATACCGTTAGTGATTTACATCTTGGATTTTTGATGTAAATCAATACATCCGGATAAATTTTATATCTCAGAAAGTTTAGTCTATGTTATATCGAATATATTATATATTCAATATGTTATACTTAATACGATGTCTTATAGAATTTCATGGATATAATTTCATCTTGAGTATAAATTATATCTTACTTAAAAGACGTTTATACATAATGTTAATAGTAGATTCAATAGTACAAGTAGATTATATTTTATAATAACGAAAAAATATGAACATAATTTATACCCATATATAGAAATAGCTAAACTATAATTTAAAACAAGAAAATAATATTCATTCATATTCATATTTCCTTCAATGTATAGATAAACTGTGATTTTCTTCTTTTTTCAATATTGACGTCAATCAATACGTGTTTCCCGTTAATTATCTTATGTTAAAAGATAAATAACACACAAAAAAAAAATAGTTAGACATTTGGACCTCGAACATAGAAAAATAGCTAAACTGTAATCATAAAATTGATTTCATTAAAACAAAAACACAATAAAAGAATGTGAACAACAGTAGGAAAAATTCAAATAATATGGGTATTGAAGCAACTGTACCAACCTGAAATATTGAAGCAATAAAAAAAATAAAAACTTAAACTAAAACCCAAAGAATGGGTATAAAGAACTGTTGCAGTAGGGAGTGAATGAACGAACATGTATGAATGAGTAGCAGAAATCAGCAGAAATGAGGATCATGAGAAGACGTTGTGCCAACAATAATTAAGATTTAGATATTTTCTTAATTAATAATATTGGTAAATAAAACAAAATCAATCGTTCTGAAAGATTTGAAGGAGTGAATTAAGGAATTTGAATTGAAAATTAATATGGGCCCACAATAATTAAAGGATTGTGGTATTAATTTATGGAATTAAATCTTTTATATTTCAAAAAAGCAAATAACTATAATAAATTTAAATGCAATAAATATGGATAAATTCGGAATTAAAATAAAATCGTACGTGTAGAAATCTAAAAGTGTAAAATTTAAAAAATTTAGACATTTATGTAAATAAATTTCTAAAATAACCCTATGAAAATATTATCTCTTTGTTTGGAGTGAAGTTATAAATTTGGTCTGAACTTTCAAGGTCCCTAAACTTTGTACAATAGGTTCCAAACTTTTAAATTTGTATTTATAGGTATTTCAACTTTAAAAGTGTTTAATAAATCCTTAAAAATTTATAATTTTTAAAATTATCGGGACTAAGAATTTATTAAAAACAAATTTAAAAATTTATGTCCGTCTGATTAATTTATCAGAGATTTTCTATCATTAGAAATTAGAACAAAATAACACAAAACTATTGTAAAACATTGGAGTTTATAAATAAAATTTTTAGTCTATAAATAGGTGGTTCTTCTTAGTTTTGAGACTAAGAAAAATCTTCCCTTAAAATTTTCCTTCTCTTTTCTCGATTCCTCGTATACGACTATTTGTAGAGTCTTATCATCGAAGTGCTGCATTCGGTTAGTAATTTGTAGATTATTGAGACTATTATTGGTTATACCTTAGAATACCGGAGAACATAAACAATACTAATGGTTTTCCTAAATTTCTCCTTATTTTGCCTAATGATGAAATGTTTTTTATTTTTATTTGTATGAGGGGGAATGTCTTAATCCATATTCTATATCTATAGTCTCTTTTGCTTTCCTTTCTTCTATAGAAATCTCAAAATGTCCTTCCTATTACCAATTTCCACTATTGTGGACTCTGTAGGCTTGGAGGGCTTCTGTCAAATTTTCATTTTAATTAATATATAAATATTTGAAATGTTTAAGGTTAAAATTCTACCTTAAATAAATAAAAATGTTTTGTGCTTACTTATTTTGTTTGGATGTTTATACTTTACATAAAAAAATTATTTTTGTTTGAATATTGACATCGATGGAAAAATGGACGACTTAATTTGTATGAGACTAGCTAGAAAATTATAGCAATCAAGAAATTGATTAAAAAAATGGAAACTGATCGCATGAGTTATTACCATACTTCTAAATATCCGTCAATACGTCGACATTTCTATCGACATGTCTATATTTTCATGGGTTCGACATCGACATAAATGGTAAATCGACATTTCTATCATAGTACAAAAAAATCGACAAAGTTGGAAAGATATTAACAAATGTCACTAATATATACATAATATCAATATTAATTATTTTTTAACTTATTTAGAAATATGAAAATATTTATTTGTTAATTTAACTTTTACATAAATATCCATCGACGTCGACATTTTATCGATATTTCCATGAAATTGAGACTTCGACATTTTTATCGACATCAACATTGAAGTTTCTATAGGCATTGGTGGGCCATTGGACTTGAATAATTTTGGGGCAAACCCAACTTGGATTGATTTAAATTTAAATATTAAATTGAGGTGGATGGCTAAATTTTGCCACCCATTTTAAAAAATGTCTATTAGTTTTAAATTAAAGGGTATTTTTGGAGTTTACAAAATAACGTAATTTTCCAACAATACCCTTTTCTATGTCGTTTTGACTTTTTCTTATATTAACTTTGTTTTGAATTCAATACCCTTTTCTATGTCTTTTTGGCTTTTTCTTTTTGTCTTTTTGGCGCATCAAGTAGATATGGTACGTGTTGCCGCCAACGGGGAGGGTGGAGGTAGTTGGGTGCGGCGGCGAAAGGTCTGGTTTTGGTTCGTGGACGGCGGCATGAAGGTGAGCGGCGCATGGATGTGCTTCATGAGGTGAGCAGCAAGACGTGATGGTGGCCTTGAAGGTGAGTCGCGGGATGGCTGCTTGCGGATCTGCTTCGTGAGGAAGACGATAGCTGTGGGGCACTTGCGTGAGACCAAAAGATGGGAAGAAGGTGGGGACTCCTAAAACCATAACTTCTCTAACTCAAGTCAAAGGTGAGAAGTAAATCTTAGGATTAATAATCTTATTTATCCCCTTATTTTAGAATTTTAGAGGGGTAAATTTCAAAATCTACCCCAACACATTTTTAATAAATTTTTCTTAAATCAACTTTCAAATTCTGATTATCAATTTTAAATTAGATTTAAGTTAATTATTTAAATTTCATTCATTTGATTAGATAGAATTGATTCCCTAAAATGAAGGTCGTAATTTTTGCGATTAGTTAAAAATCTTAAATCCCTAAAATTATGTGTATATATTTAATTGGTTACAAGACTATATTTGTCTACAAAATATTTTAGAATTTAAATGAAAAAATCAATTAGTCATTATTGCAATATTTCATAGGTTTGGATATTTTTTAAAACGCGTTATTAATTTTAGCCATTCCTGCAATTGCTTCAATATTAATCGACTTTATTTCATGGTAAATTGATTTTGGACCAAGTTTGTGAACCAAATTGATTTCGAGCCCAATAATCATATGACCCAATTACATATTTTAATTGTGAAATTATCTTTAATTTTAATTTAAGCTTAATATATAATCAATCCCTAAATGAAATAGATATTGACGTGGCCGTTTATGATTGGCCCAAAATTTATGGTTCTACATTTTTATCGTTATTTTTACCTTAATATGAATTAATCTTTAATAATGTTATTATTGTTTTGGTTAAAATTAATATTAACATATTTTTAGTTAATGTATTTATAATTAACCAGAAATTTTCTCAAATTATTCTCGAATATTGTTTGTGCAGGAGAGGTCTCGTTTGAAGATTTTAATTGGGTCTTGGATATTTTTGAGTTGGCTTTTCTTTGGATTTCATATCTTTTGAGCATATTTTTAGTTAATCATAGTTCTCGTAAGTAAATGTTGAGGGGACAACGGTATACTACGTAAATGTTGAGGGGACAACGGTATCCCATAGTATGATATTGTCCGTTTTTAATATAACTCTCACGATTTTGATATTGATTTCATTCAAAATGTCACGTACCAATTGGGAGACTGTCCTATCTTATATATTCATGATCACTCCCTACTCCCTTCTCTAACCAACGTGAGATTTTATTTGTACTTATCGTACAAATTCAATAAACGGGTCATCCAACTTTGAGACATATATTATTAATGTTTTCTTTAGTGAAAAAAAATGCTTTAATGCCATTAATGTTGTTAAAAAAGAATTCCAATTGATGCGTTGAGCTTTTTTACGTATATAATTTTTTTTTCGAACAGACATATATAACAATATAAGTGGGAAAAAGAAACGGTGGGAATAATGGGTGGTGGGGTTTTGGTTATGGGCCAGATCACAGTACAATCCGAGTTTCTTCCAAATTTGAAGTGATTTTGTTTTCAGTTGAGCATATTCATAATCGCTGTATAAAAATCCTCAAAACCAAAACCAAAACTCAATCTTCCATTTGATTTCTTCCGCCATTTCCATTCTCCAATCTCCAGTTCCCAGCTCCCAAAATGGGTTCCATTGCAGTTGCAGTTTTCCTCCATTCCCATTTCCCCTTTTGATTTCTTCTCTTCTTCCTCTACTCAGCTCCGGAAAAAATGGGTTCCCTTATTGTAATGGAACCAGCCGACGTCGCCGCCTACGCCGGCGGTGGACCAAGGCGGTCATTCCAGAACTTGACCACCATCTGCACATCCACCGACCGGGTTCACTGCGGTGGGATTTTTGTGGGATCGAACCCTCTGGAGTACTCCGTCCCTCTTCTTCTAATGCAGTTGGGTGTTTGTTCTGTGACCATTCTGCTATGTTCTAAGCTCCTCAGGCCCCTCGGTCTTCCCCTCATCGTCTCCCAAATCGTGGTAACTTTTTTCTTCTCCTTCTCTCTCTTTCTTTTAATTGATTGCATTTGCTCTGATTCTGTTCTGTATTGGGTTGATTTTATCAGGGCGGTTTAGTTCTGGGTTCTTCGATTCTGGGGCAGCTTGATGGATTCAAAGAAACTTTTTTCCCCCTCAGGGGATTCATATTCCTTGACATAGTCTCTTCATTAGGATCCATGTTTTACTTCTTCATCATTGGAGTTCAAATAGATTTCTCTGTTGCCAAGAAGATTGACACGAGGGCGTTTAGTATTGGGTCCTGTTCTGTGGTTTTGCCCATGATTCTTACCTCCATTTACTGTTTGGCTTCAATGAATCCTGCGTTGAACCCCCAAATTGCCAATTCCTTCCCTGTTGTTGCTGCATTAGAGTCTGTTATCAATTTTTCCATGGTTACTTGCTTTCTTTCGGAGCTTCAGATTATAAACTCTGAGATTGGGAGAATTGCTTGGTTGTCTTCTGTGGCTTCTGGTTTTTGCACCATTTGTTTTACATTGGTAGGAATTGTGTTCGTTCCTCGAAGTAACAAATATGCAGCCTTAGCAGTAGTTTATACTCTTGTGGTTGTGGCTGTCATCATCATTGTTTTGGCTCGGGTTGTCGTATCGCGGATGATAGAGTATAATCCGGACGGGCAACCGTTGAAGGAGGGGTATGTGATTAGCTTGCTTTTAGGGGTGTTTGTGACTGGCGTTTGCAGCCAAGCCATTGGTTTGCAGGTATATTTTGGTCCCCTTGTACTTGGGATGGCAATCCCTTCAGGGCCGCCCATTGGATCAACATTGGTAGAGAGGTTTGATTTCGTCACCTCCTGGGTTTTAATGCCCATATTCTTTGTCAAATTAGGCTGGGTTATCGATATCTTTATCATCCAACTCAAGAATTTCTTAGTCCTGTCGTGCATTGTCTTTGTCGCTGCGTTAGGAAAGTTTTTGGGTGCCTTTACGACTTCAATCTACTTCAAACTGCCCGTAAGAGATGCCGTATTGCTCGGCCTTATCATGAATAGTCAAGGAGCTATGGAGCTTTGTATGATTAAAATGTTGAAGAAACAAAAGGTAGGAATCATCTCTTCTTCTAATTGCATCTGATCATTTTTCACAATACTCACCAATGTTTCGTTTCCTAAATCCGTACAGGTGTTAGATAACGAAATGTTTTCGATTTTGTGCTTATGCATCGTGATTTTGATGGCAATTATCACTCCTATAACAAGATATCTCTATGATCCTTCTAGAAAGTATGTAGCTTATGATGGAAGAACAGTGATGCACTCGAGACCAGAGTCTGATTTCCATTTATTAGTTTGCGTTCACGACCAAGAAGATGTTCCAAATGCCATTAACCTACTTGAGGCCTTGAATCCGACGAGACGAAGCCATCTTGTTGTCTACATGCTTCATCTTGTTGAACTGCTCGGTAATGCGAACCCCCAACTCATTTCCCACAATCTCGCAAAGGTGCGTTCTTCGAGGTCCTGCCCTTCGGAGCATATCGTTAATGCTTTCAAATACTTTGGAGAGAGCAATCGTGACATTGTTGCGATTTATCCCTTCACTGCAATATCTCCTTCTGCAACTATGCATGACAACGTTTGTACGCTTGCACTCGAGAAAGGAACTTCCTTGGTTCTTGTTCCTTTCCATAAGAGATTTCATTCCAATGGTGTGATGTCATTATGCAAAAGTAAGATGAGGACAGTTAACAACCACATACTTGATAAAGCACCCTGCTCTGTCGTTCTTGTCGTCGACCGTGGACTCTTGAAAGTCTCAAACACTATTGCAATCGACTTGTATACTTTTCACTTAGCCGTGGTCTTCGTTGGTGGACCAGATGATCGTGAGGCAATGTTCATCGGGGCAAGAATGGTCGGGCACCCCAATATCCACTTAACTGTGATTCGACTTCTGACGAATGAGAATGTTTCAGGCGATAACGTCGAAGAGAGGAGGCTCGACAACGAGGCAGTGAGCGATTTTCGAGAAATTGTAGCAGGCAATTGCAAAGTGATATACATTGAAGAGGTGGTGATGGATAGCACAGGAACGGTCTCTATACTTCGTTCGATGGGGAACAATTTTGACATTGTAATGGTCGGAAGACGACATGGTCCAAGTTCGCCATTGGTTCAAGGTTTAGTGCTTTGGAATGAGGATACAGAACTTGGGGCAATTGGGGAGGTACTAGTCTCCTCAGATTTTATGGGCAATGCCTTAATCTTGGTTGTGAACCAACACACAAAAGAGTTTAATGAAAGTCAAGGGAAGCACCAAGAAGTTGTGTAACGATTGGACTTTTTGAAATGTGGAGTGCTTAGGGACACTTATGTTGGGTGAGATACGTAATTGTGTAATCCTAGCAAATAGATTATAATGTAATTGATTACAAGAAATTACATATAACGACAATGTAAATAAGACTATAGATAGCGTTTAGATAGTGTATAGGTTAGAAACACACGTGTAACTAAAATTAAACCATAAGAGAAATACTAAAGTTGCTACGATCGTATGCGATCAAATTGACAACAGCAACAGTAGCAAATGAACGGATTTTTATAAACATGATGAAAAAAATAGTGGTGGTACACTTCAAAAATGTTGTCCTGGAGACAAATATTCGCTCCTCGCAGATTGTTTATAGACTATGGTGACTGTTTCAATAGGATACGACAACTCCGATTGAACATCAATCTCGACCTTATTTGAATTTGGTGTTGGATGTTTAATATGGGAAAGAAAGTGAGAAAATCATTGAGTATACAAATTTAACATCTGAAAATTAAATTTGTATATTAAGAATTTTGAAATTTATTTTACATTTGTAACAATTTCATTATTTATTTCATAAAGTTAGTTTTTGTTTCAATTTTGTGTTATGTAACTTTATTTTGTTAAAGTTACATGTTAAACTTGAAGTCATACTTCAAATGAGAAGTTTTTTCTTTATTTTGTTAAAGTTACAATTGTAACTTTATATGTGTTAAAATGCTTGTGAGATGTTACTTGTTATGAACAAATATATATAGTTGTAGTTTTCTTCATTTGAGATCTAGGCATACCACAATTGGGTATTCTCCTCCTCCCACAAGAATTCTCTCTTCTTTTGAGTTGTTCTTCTTGTTTATGTTGAGAGCAAGTATCTAAGAGTTCTGCCAGATCTGAGTAGTTCGAGGTTGCAGTTCTACCGGAGTTAGTCGTTGTATCCTGTTGAGACGATCGCTGTAGTCTGCTAGCAACTTGTGCAAATCGAATAATTGTCTTTAGGTCAGCGCTATTGAAGCGTGCCTCGATTATTTTTTATCAAATTTTGGTGTTCATCAAGTTGTTCAAATTTATATCGTTTGTAGCCAGTTAAGTTGTAATCTATTTGTCAGTACTACACAGTTCATATATACAGCGTATATTTACCCTACATTTGGTAGATCTCTTAGGCATTTGCTCTCAACATAAACAATAAACAATAAATATAAAGAGAAAAATACAAGATAATTCTTGAGAGAGGAAGTGAAACTCAAACTATGAGTATTTTGGATACTTGAAATTTCGATCTTTTGTATGTCTCAAATAAAGAGATTCAACAACATCGTACACTTCTTAGAATACAAACATCACATAACATGATCTTATCTTCCTAGTAGACACATTAGGATTTATGATTGTGTTAAAAAGTTATCTTATCTTGTTATGTGATAGCCGATAACACCTAATGATGGTTTGGATTAACAGGGCAATGTTACACTCCACGTGGACACGTTAGGAATCGTGTTGATCATGCAACATGACGGTCTAACACCCAACGACTGCCTGGATAAATATTTACATAACAAATGATTTTTCAAACTCGAATATGCCGCATTAGTCGGATATCTTTTTAGTGAGATAGGTACATAGTCATTGATTGATGGACCAAAAACTGAGGAAACAAAAAGTACTTTTTTTTCATTTTTTAAATTTCTGTCTCATACATCCATGTAAAACTTACGACGGTCTCCTTCAATAATCTTCCTTCTAGAATGATTAGAAACTTCGTTACCCAATTTTTTTTTTAATTTTCAGTTATATCATAAGTTTAGTCCTGAACTTTCAAGGTTCCTAGATCATAAAAAGTGTACAAATAGGTCCCTAAAATTTTAATTTTGTTTTTGTAGGTCATTAAACTTTAAAAGCGTAAGCGTTTAAAGATTTTCGTAATTTTTGAAAATTTATGATATAATAAGCATTTTTCAAAGTTGAGGAGGACGAAAATCAATTAAATAATTCTAGGTATCTTTTAATTTATCATATTTCAAAAAAGCTTTCTTGAAAGTAGGAGCATAGCCAACCTATCAATTGTTTCAAATTCTGGCAACAAATAACCCCAATACTGTTTATAATTGGATTGGTCATTGATGATTATGCCCCACTAGGAAAAAAAAAACATTAATTTGAACTTTATGGAAAATAAGCCATTTGAGATTTTTGTTTATTTAAATCCCACCCGATTCAAACAAGTTTATAACTTAACCTGAATGAATTGGGTTGGGTTGATTGATTTTTTAGGTCATTGGGTTTTTTGAACATCCCTAATAGTTGGAGTGATAAAAATTGATCAAATCGAACAGAACCGGTTCATTCTATAAATATATTTAAACAATATATATACAATTTGGTCAACTAACGGTTAACTCAACTTCAGAAATAATTAGGAATCAAACTCAAATCTCAATAACCAATTAAAAACTAAATTCGAACTCAAATCTGAATATTACTTTTGAAACTTAAGAAAACCAAATAAAAATCAAAAGGGATGGTTTTTAACTTGAAACAAGTCAAACTCATAGACAAAAAGTACATTTTACCATTAAAAAAAAAATCTGAGAAATTAACAAATTATTAATTATTAACCACATGTCTGAAAAACTATACAACGAATTAATCTACATATGAACGCTTAATTTATGTATTTTGCTTTTTTTTTCACATATATTTGTAATTTGTAACTATCTTTTAATTAACAAAGAGGTCAACCTGAATAGAACATTTAAGGAAAAAATTAGGGTTTTAATGGCAATATGAATTCGTTAAAATCAAACAGCAATTTGCCATTACCATACTCTTAGTCCCTGCGTTTGGATCTGGTTGGTTCCTTCAAAAAAAAATCAAAAAAAAAAAAAAATCCTATAAAATGATCTAAGTTTAAAAGTTTCAATTTAGCTTTCATTGATATAAACGGAGCTTCAATTGGTATCTGTGATTTTAAAAATTTCAATTCCATCGGCTAAATCTCACATGTCATCACTCAATTCTGCTTTACCCTTTGAAAACTCCGCCTATTCTTTTTTGTTAATTTATTTTTTATTTTTTTAACTCAACACTGTACCAAACAAAAAACTGTTACTTGAAAAAAAATTATCAATGTTATAAGAATATGGACAATTTGTGAAGTTTAACACAACAACGACGGACCAAACTTTAGAACTGTAAAGGTTAAACTGAAACTAAATCCAAACTATAAAGACCAAATTCAAACTTCGGGCGAACTATGGAGACCAAATTTATAATTGAACTAAAGAGTTAACCAATAATTAATAACTACTCCTCACTCTTTATAACTTTATAATCTCAGAGGTTGGACTATTAGTCTGTGTATGAGATGGCAGCAGAGGTGACATGCTCATTTACATCGTACCTTAGTTTTTCAAGCATATGCAAACAGTAAATGAAGGAAATACATGTCGAATCGAGAACGACTTCGTGATGCGAATACCCGAGAAGCAAACATCAATGCTACCAAAACATGCTCACATAAATGAGAGACATCTCCAGAAGAAGTTGTTCTAAATTTTCAATCAGCATAATGTCAAATGCAAGCTGCAAAATGGATTCTTCTAAACAATAGTCAAAGAAACCCAGATGTCACAAAGATAGAGCTCAGGCCAAAGAGGAAAAGGAGCTGCAGAAGAACCAAATGATGTATCCCCAGCAAGCGTATAAGAAACGAGCACATTCTATAACAAATATCAGAAGAGACATGCAACAAAGTAGCATAATTTAAGACGGCCAAAATGACTCAGTGAGAGAACTCTTTCAATTTTACAATGTAAAGCTAACAAGTGTTACAATCGCCTTTCGAGTTAACAAAAAGCAGACACCGGGTTTTCGAGCTATGAATTAATGCAATGACTCTTAATACAATAAACACCTTTTTCTGCTAACTAACTGAATTGAACACTGAGAAAATGAATGCATCAGATGCTTACCTACCCGTACGACCACCGGTAAGAAAGCATCCTAAACCACTCCTTCGATATCAAGTGCACTCGGGCAGAGAATAGCGAAATTCAAAGGTTGTAAGCAGAACAAGCAACTTGAGATTCAGAATTCATAACATATGTTCTTTATAATAGGTGAAGAAATACAAAATGAAGAACAAAGTGATAACTTGGGAAAAAAAAATTCTATCTCAAATTTCACAAACCCAATTGTTCAAACATTGCATCAAGGACTAGAGAAGAACTGAAGAACAAGTAAAGTTGCCTTAAATATGATCAACACACCTTTTTGAATAGCGAAACAAACAGCCAAAAAGAGAAAAAAATGAAGTTAAGCTCAAGCCAAGCTGCTCTCAGTTGTATACAATCTCACACCTGCAAAACAATCCAAAGAGAAAAGGAATGATCAATGGCACCAAGAAGAGCTTCATGTTCTGTACATCATAGCTTTAAGGAATCAAGAAAGAACCTGGGATGGGATGTGAAGAAGAGTTTGAAAGATTGCAATTCACAAGGGGGGTGGCAAGCCAAATGGAGAAGATCCCTATAGAATTTTCCTCTCAGGTATCTCTGTTTTTCCTCACTTTTTTGTGTTTTTTTTTCTTGGAGATTATACAATACAATACAAAACCCATTTGAAATAAGAAAGAAAGAAAGAAAGCCAAAAAAAAAAGAAAAGAAAAAATATGCTAGTTCTCCATTTTACTACCCTGAGTCCTGAGAATCATCCTTAGCAGAAGGTTGTTGTTGGTGATGGTGATGGTGAGGAACTCTGGGCTGACCCATTTGGTGGTAAACTTGGTTCAATATCTGAGGATTTAGGACCCCAATATGGCCATCTTGGGACAAACCCAGCTCCAAACCAGGGAGCTGTTGGTGGGTGTTGGCTCCTAAAATGGAGGTGAAACTCATAGGACCCATATTGGTGGGGGGCAAGTCAAAGGGGGGGAACCCAAGTTTGTGAAAGTAATTAGAAGTTTCAGTGGCTAAATTTGTGGTTGATGGAGGGGAAGAAGAGGATGATGTTGATGATGAGTG